GGCTCCTGGCCGCAAAGATCTGCCCAGCACCTCAGGAGCCAATTCGCCTGCTTGCCATGAGGATGCTGAGTGAGAGGCGGAGGGAAGGGGTGGGGGTGGGAAGAAGGGGGAAGGGGCTGTAACTTCAGGACTCTAATTAGACACCAGGCTGAGGGACTGACAGGCAGGAGGAAGGAACAGCTGCCGGCCTGTGTGTGAGACAGAGCGCGCAGGGAGGGCTCTGACCACATCTGTCTGAGGCGTTAGGAAGGAAGCCGAGGAGATGCTGAGTGAGAGGCGGAGGGAAGGGGTGGGGGTGGGAAGAAGGGGGAAGGGGCTGTAACTTCAGGACTCTAATTAGACACCAGGCTGAGGGACTGACAGGCAGGAGGAAGGAACAGCTGCCGGCCTGTGTGTGAGACAGAGCGCGCAGGGAGGGCTCTGACCACATCTGTCTGAGGCGTTAGGAAGGAAGCCGAGGAGAAGAGAAATGAGCTGAGTGGAGACGAGGAGTCAGGCTGTCTGCCCAGCGCGGAGGGCAAGGAGGTGGCTGGGAAGTCAGAGGGGCCCGGAGCATTTGCCCGGTAGCACCAGGTCCCGACAGAGCTGCAGAGCCCGAGAGACCTTCGGGGCCAGAAGAACTCCTTGCTCCTAGCATCCTTCTGCCACCCCTGGCGCTGGGATCTCTGAAGCATGGAGGAGCAGCTGTACTGGGAGGCCTATGGCGACAACCAGACAAGTGACTGTGATTACGAGGAGTGGAGCCCGTCCCTGGTGCTCATCCCCACCATCTACCTGCTGGTTTTCCTGCTGGGTACCACTGGCAACGGCTTGGTGCTGTGGACCATCTTCCGAGGAGGGCAAGAGAAGCGGTGTTTGTCCGACACCTTCATCGCCAACCTCGCCATGGCTAACCTGACCTTCGTCGTCACCCTGCCTCTTTGGGCTGCCTACACCTGGCTGGGCTACCACTGGCCCTTCGGCTCCTACGCCTGTAAGCTCAGCAGTTACCTGGTCTTCGTCAACATGTACGCCAGCGTCTTCTGCCTGATGGGCCTCAGCATTGACCGCTACTTGGCCATCGTGCGGCCCATGGCTAATGCCAAGATGAGGTGGAGGGCCAGCGGGCTGGTGGCCACCGTTGCCCTGTGGGCCTTGGCGGCCATTTTGGCTTTGCCAGCCATGATCCTCCGGCGAGCATCGGTGCTACCCGGGGAAACCAAGGTGACGTGCTACATGGACTACTCAGGCATGGTGGCCAACGGGACCGAGGGGGCCTGGGAAGTGGGGCTGGGCCTGTCTTCCACCATGCTGGGCTTCGTGGTCCCCTTTGTCGTCATGCTGACCTGCTACTTCTTCATCGCCCGCACCATCGCTGACCACTTCCGGAAGGAGCACGGCGAGGAGATGAGGAAGAGGAAACGGCTGCTGAGCGTCATCATCGTGCTGGTGGCCACTTTTGCCCTCTGTTGGCTGCCCTTCCACCTGGGGCAGACCATCTATGTGCTGATGGACATGGACATGATGCCCTGGTCCTGTGGTTTCCACGCCTTCCTCAATAACTTGCACCCCTACTGCACCTGCGTGGCCTACATCAACAGCTGCCTCAACCCCTTCCTCTACGCCTTCTTTGACCCCCGCTTCCGGCAGGCCTGTACCGCTGTCCTGTGCTGCAGCCGGGGGCGCTGGCCGGGGTCCAGCAAGGACAGGTCAGCCAGCTACTCCTCCGGCCACAGCCAGAACCTGCAGGGGAAGGGTGTGGAACTGCAGCAGGAGAAACTGGGTCCAGGGAGGCAGGAAACTCTGCTACGAGGCTAAGAGAAGTGGGAGGGCACAGACCCATCTTCAGGGACATCCTTTGCTGCCCCCTGTCTTCCATTGCTTCTCTCGCGCCTTCTTTTTTCTTTTCTCTAAGAGAAGTGGGAGGGCACAGACCCATCTTCAGGGACATCCTTTGCTGCCCCCTGTCTTCCATTGCTTCTCTCGCGCCTTCTTTTTTCTTTTCTCTCCGCCACTGCTTCCCTCGTTCATCCTTCGTCCTCTTCCATGTCTCCTTTTACTCCTCCTCCAGCTCCTGTGAGGAGAAGGTGTCCCGAGGTCTGTGGCTGGCCCGCAGAAACTCAATGCCACCCTTTGGCATGGCACGGTCTGCTAGAGGCCTGTCTACAGTGCAGCCGGAAGAAGCCTCCCATATTCCAGCCCTAGTCACTCCAAGGGCTTGGGACCCACACAATAGATCCAGTGCTTGTCTGTCTCACCAGCAGCAGTGTAGACATGGCCTGGAGGGCTCATGACCCAGAAGCAGACAACCCCAGGAATGAGGGTTTTCTGCCTTTCTGAATTACTGTTCTTTTTTCTGGTCACTGCCTGGGCTTTGGGAGTAGGGTGTTAATGGGAGGGGGTAGGGGTGGAAGACTCCCCTCAAGTAACCGCCCTCTGAACATGGCTCCCCCTCCCTACTCTAGAGATAGCCTCAGGGATCAGGGTCTGATGCAGGGGGTAGGGAATTTTTTTGGGGTGGGGGGGCCGCTGACCCACAGAGAAATCAGTCGGGGGCCACACAAGTGAGAAGTGAGAAAAAAAATCCCTCACTGATGTGGCCACTGTCTGAGAAGAGCCCCCACCCTTCGCCCTGGAATGTCACACTTCTGTGGGGTGTGTGGGTGAGGGGGAGGAGGAAAAGTCTGCCCCCCCATCCAGACCCTCCTCCCCCTTCTCATTAGGCCTTTGCCAATATCCAGACCCCCATGGTATTGGATACAGTGTCCCCCTCTGCCCCCCAGCTGTGGGGCTGAGGGAGCTGACAGTCAGGATTCCCCCCAGAGCCTGTTTCATCTGCGGGGGGGCGGGGGGCAGGAAGAAATCACCTCGCAATGGAGGAACGAGGTGGCTAGGGCAGAGGGTCTGTCCCAGTTTTGAAGTCCAAGAAGCTGCTGCCCCACGGCTTTCTGTTTATTCACCTGCTCGCCCTCACCCATGTGGAGAAAAAAGCCAGAGAGGAGGTTAGTCAGGATTCCCCCCAGAGCCTGTTTCATCTGCGGGGGGGCGGGGGGCAGGAAGAAATCACCTCGCAATGGAGGAACGAGGTGGCTAGGGCAGAGGGTCTGTCCCAGTTTTGAAGTCCAAGAAGCTGCTGCCCCACGGCTTTCTGTTTATTCACCTGCTCGCCCTCACCCATGTGGAGAAAAAAGCCAGAGAGGAGGTTAATGGGGGTCACTCCTCGCATGTCCCCCCTCCCCCCTGCTCAGATAGCTTTAGCCACAGCTCCAGAGCAGCTCACTGGATGAGTTTGCCAAGAACTGTCTCCCCCCCACCACCCCTCTAAGCCTGTCTCCTGGAGGGAGGGGCTATTCGGTTGGGTTGCAGGGGTGGGGGGGTTGGTAGAGCTCCTTCCCTCTGGTGTTAGGGTTGCCAGAGGTCTGGTTTTGAACTGGACAGTCCAGTATTTGAGCTTTCTGTTCGGGAAACAAATGGAGAAAATAGAAATGAGAAAATAGAACTGTCCGGTATTTTCTAACTAAGATGTCATGTCGATTATGATGTCATGTTAAGTATGTCCAGTGTTTTTGTGGAAACCATCTGGCTACCCTATCTGGTGTGGAGATATCTTTCTCTTGCTTGTTAGCCCATCCCTGAGAAGAATTCCCGGCCTGTCTCCTCAGCAGATCTCAAAGTGCTTCCCAATGTAGGGTGGGGAAACTGAGGCAGCGCACAAGGAAGTGACTCGCCCAGAATCTCCCCAAGAGAGGCAGGAAGAGAACCCAGGTGGCAGTGTGCCCAGGCATTGCTCTACTCGCTGCCCGGGCCCCGAGGCCTGTCAGAAGGGCATTGTGGGGAGCAAGGGATGGGTGGTTTTGCTTGTCAGACAAGCCCCAGGGGAGGAGCTAGTGGGTCACAGGAGTCTCTCCGCATGTGGCCCTTTGCTGGGCCTGAGGCTGAAGGGCCGGGGAAGTGGATGGATGGGCCAAGTCGGTCGGGGGCCTGCAGAGGAGTGGGAGGTGGAACAGCTACAAGAGGTGGCAGGTGCTAGGAATTGCATGGGCCTCCTGACCCCACCCACCTGCCTCTGAGGACCACGCGGGCATGAGGTCTGGGGCAGGCATCTGGGGGCCACACCACTCCTCCTGCATAAGGGCTCTGGGGAGGGGGGGGCTCTGGGCATGAGGGAGCAGCCCCGGGCCTGCCCCAGCCCTTGGGGGAATGGTGAAGAAGCACGACCTGTGATGGACCCGCTGAGACTGGAGAAGGCGTCTCAGGAAGGGGCAGCTCCCTTTGCATAGCGCCCGGGGAAAAGCAGAGCCCATCCACAGAGCTGCTGGGCTGCGGCCGTCACAGTTTGGCCAGAAAGACCCCACCGCCCCCAGGAGACGGGTGAGTCCAGCTGGATGTCGGGCGGCAGAAGAAAAGTCACGTTCCCCAGGAAGAGCTCTCCAGGCCAAAAACTGTGCTGGGCTTCCCCAGGAGACGCCTCCCAGCTTGCGGCGGCTTGTCTGGGTCTCTGAGCCCCATGGGGGCTGCCCTGTCAGAACTCTGAACAGTGGGGTCACCGCTCGGACCATCTCGGGGAGGGAGGGGGGCCTCTGTCAGGCCGGGGCTGCTGTTGTGTATGATGAATAAATGGGCCTTGGCTAAATTTTGTGTCAGGTGGCTTCAGTAACTGCCATGGGGGAAAGCTGCTGGAGATCCTGGTTAGGTGTGTGAGATGGAAGGAGCAGGGAGAAGTGGGGAGAGGGGGCAGAGATTAAGGGAGGTGGAAAGGGACCCGAGAGGAATGGGGTGGGGGGCAGAGATGGCGTAAAGATGGCAGATAACGGACACAGCGGGAGGGAAAACAAGCACGGGCAGGAGAGACCAGGAGAGACAGCTGGGCGGGGGTGTGCGTGTGTCACCGGCCGCTGCCTTATTTAATCTTCCCTGCCACATCCCTGCAAAGCCAGACGGCTCCAGGAATTTACAACCAGCGCGAGCAGCTGTTCGGGAACTGCTGTTGGGTGGGGCTGTGCAATGAACTCCAGATGCTCTGTGAAAGCCAGAGGCTGGCGGGCAGGCTGGGCAGGCGGTGGAAGGGAAGCGGGGGGGAGGGAAAAAACCCCCACATGTGTGGGTCAAAGGGTGCCTGAGCTGCTCTGGGGTTGAGGCTGTGGGCAGAGGGGGATGCAGGCTGGCATGGGACTGTGGGCCGAGTCCCTGGTGTATTCCCAGGAGAAGCCACATCCTGGGCCATTTTTCTGACCATTGTCCGGACCTGCTGGAGAATCTTTGGGACAGAGGAAATAAAACTTTTGCATTGGGTGGGAAAGGGGCAGAATCAGCCTGGAGGGGCCCAAAACTACGGGGGAAGGCCCCCAAATCTTTATGGGCACATGGATGTCAGCAAGCGTGTGCCTCTGTGTTGGTTCCTACTTCTGAGTAGACCCAGTGTCCCTGTCTACATCTGTGTGGGCATATATGTTGTGTGCATGTATGTTAGTGCTGACTTCTCAGAGTGTCTGTCCATGCATGTTGGCAGACACATAGGTTGGTGTACATACATGGTAGTGCGTGCTTCTGTGTGTCAATGTGCATGTGTGTTGGTATTAATGTCTCTTTGTGTGTGTCCATGCATGTTGGCAATTATGTGTGTTGGCATGCATGGACGTTGGTGCACATGCATGTCTGCTCACACGTGTGCAGGGCTACATGCATGTTGGCCTACATAGCTGTAGGTGTATGTGTGTGTGGGTGTATGTCTATGTTAGTGTACGTGGGAGCCGATGTCTGTGCATGTGTGTGGTTCTCCTGTGCATACACTGTGTCCGGGTGGGCATGTCTGTTCTGTGTGTGTGTGGCAGTGTCTGCTCCGTGTGGTCATGCCTGCGTTTTGTTTGTGGGTACTTGCACAAGCGCATGCTGGGAAGCAGACGTTTGTGAAGGTGCTCTCAACGCTGTGCCGGGGTGCGCATTTGCCTCCACACAGGTGGGTAGCGGGGAGCTTGGGCATTCATGGCCGTGTCTGAGGGTGCATGCGCACAAGGCGCTTGTGAGCCGCTGGGGGTGTGTGTGTCAGCGTGAGTGCACGTGGGTCTGAATGAACGCTGCCCCCCGGCTACACCCCGCAGGTTCCGCTGGGGACCTGCAGACCTAACAGCCTGGGCTGCTCCAGCCTGGGCACAAAGAACCAAATCTCCTTCCCTGGGAGCAAGAGCAACTCAGGCTTCCCTCAAAGGCGGGGCTGCAAGCCCCCGTGCCCGGTGGGATGCACG